CATTTTAAGGCTCTACTGCTCATTTCTGGGGTCTGAGCTAAGAAATATGGAATGAATGTAGGAGAGCAAAAAGACCAACTTTTTAAACTTTTTGAATACCAAAGAGAGAGCAACATGCCCAGCTTAAAGGGCTTAACGATATCTGCCAACATTTCTGTAAAACACTGAGATTCCCGTTGTTCTCTCTGTGGGGTTTCTGTTTTCTCCCCTGAGCCCTATTTGAAGGTGAGTTCACATTTTCTAACAAGGTGAGGGCTGTGTGATTCTGGCTGGCATTCACATTCCAAAGGAGGCCTTTTTTAGAGAACAAGGACTCTTCTGTGTCCCTGGCATCCTTCCCTCATCACCCAATGCCGCCTGGCCTGGCCTGCCCTGCACGTGCCCAGCCTTTCTCTTAGGAGCAGCTGTGAAATCCCACAGGGACATCTGAAGAGAAAGCCCCATTATGCAACACCTTGATTGCTACAAGGAGATCCTGAGAAGGAGTTGAGAAAGAGTCCCATTTCCCTGGGGAGGAAATGCTAGAAAAGAGGAGGGTGGTAGCCAGGTTTCTAGGGCAAGACAGATCCCTTCACCAAAGTGGGGAGAAAGGAACACCTTGCACTCATACTGGAAATTTCTTGGGGATGCAGAGCATGAACGCTACCCTCTTAAAACTTTTCATGCATGCATCTAACACTTGGTGGCTAGTTGGGGATTAGAGGCAGGAGTCGTATTCTTGGTCACTTTGGAAGCTTTTTCAGTCTTGAATTACGCATGGTGTAGTTTAGGTATCATGTAGAGGCATTCCGGTTCAGTGTACATAAGAATCCCCCAAGGCTGTTTAATAAAAGTGTAGATTCCTTGGACCCTTGCCCAGAGATTCTGATTCGGTAAGTTCATACTTTGGAGAAACACCAGGATGTCGGTTAAAGGACTAGTTTCTGGCAACTTAGAAACTTGCTTCCTGCTCCTGGTTCCATCCGTGATTAGCCCTGTGTTTTTGAGCAGATGATTCTCTGAGAGCATCAGTTATCTGATTTATAAAATGGGGATCATGATACCTTCCTTGGCAGGGTTGCAGGAATTTCATATGCTTGGCACAAAGTAAGCATTCAGAACGAATTAGCTATATTTGCTCATTTCACTGCCATCATACGGCATGGGCTGCACTACAGTAACTTGCAGTGCAGAAGACTCGTGGTTTAGTAGGGTTGAGTATAGAGGGATATGCCTCAGCCTTTGTAAGCTTGGAGGAAGAAATCAAACAGAAGATCATTTTTAAAAAAATAAATATTTTATTGTGTTTTAGGTTTCAGGGTACATGTGAAGAACATGTAAGATCGTTGCATAGATACATACATGGCAATGTGGTTTGCTGCCTTCCTCCCCGTCACCTATATCTGGCATTTCTCCCCATGTTATCCCTCCTCACTCCCCACCTGCTGCTGTCCCTCCCCTAGTCCCTCCCGGCAGACCCCAGTGTGTGATGCTCCCCTCCCTGTGTCCCTGTGTTCTCATTGTTCAACACCCGCCTATGAGTGAGAACTGAGATTGTCACTATGCACAGTATCTATTGGTATTTAATGTTCACTACAACTCAGGATGTCGTGGTTTCCCACGTTCAAGACGAGGAGGAGGCCTTCCGTTAGGGTTTCCTGAAACAATTGAGCCTTATACCTCCTAAGATTATGTAATTGTTAATTATGTCCCTTACAAAAAGGCCCCAGAAAATAAATTCTGTTTTTTACTTTCTTACAGTAGCTGTATTGGCAAGTATAATCCTAACTGTTTACATAGTGTCAATAAGAAAAATAAATCACAGAAGCTAAGGTCTTCGCCCAAGGTCACAAGTGGTGCTAGGTGGTTGTTACAGACTGAATTGTACCCCCACCCTAAATTCATATGTTGAAGCCCTACCCCCCACCCCAGTACCTCAAGACGTGACTATTTGGAGATAAGGCCTTTACTGAGGTGATTAAATTAATGGAATCCTCATTTAATCTGACTGGTTTGTTGATAAGAAAAAGAAATTTGGACGGGGTGTGGTGGCTCACATCTGTAGTCCTAGGGCTTTGGGAGGCTGAGGTGGGAAGATCACCTGAGGTCAGGAGTTCAAGACCAGCCTGGCCAACATGGTGAAATCCCATCTCTACTAAAAATACAAAAATTAGCTGGGTGTGGTGGCGCATGACTGTAATCCCAGCACTTTGGGAGGCTGAGGCAGTTGGATCGCTTGAGGTCAGGAATGCAAGACCAGCCAGCCAACATGACGAAAACCCATCTCCACTAAAAATACCTTAAAAAATTAGCTGGGCATGGTGGCAAGCACCTGTAATCCCAGCTACTCAGGAGGCTGAGGCAGGAGAATCACTTGAACCCAGGAGGCAGAGGTTGCAGTGAGCTGGGATTATGCCACTGCCCACCAGACTGGGTGACAGAGTGAGACTCCATCTTCCCTCCTCACCCGCCCCCAAAAAACGAGGAAATTTGGACACACAGATACCAAGGATGCATACGCATGGAGAAAAGACTGTGAGGAAATGGCGAGGAGGCCACCATCTCTGCAAGCTAAGAGGAGAGTCAGACCTCAGAAGCCAGACCTGCAGATACTTTGATCTTGGACTTTCAGCCTGTAGAACTGTGAAAAGATAAATCTCTGTTGTTTAAGCCAACTAGCCTGCATACTGTTACAGTAGCCCTAGCGAACGAATACAGTGGTGATGCATGGTTTGAACCCTGGGCCGACCCCTAAACCTGCACTGTGTTCCCACTGAACAGTCCCACTTTGCCCTGCACCAGGCCTGCAGCTAAGTGACAGCGTCTCTTTAGGTTTCTGGCTGGGCATTCAAACTTGGCTTCAGCTCGGCGTTCTCCAGCACGCTAGCGGCAGGAGTGAGTTTTCGTTTGCTGTGGTCTGCGATCCCATGAAGAGTTTCTTAGATTTTCCACGTTGTCTGGTAATTGGATGATGAGTAACAGTGAGACTCCATCTTTTTGATGGTGGAAGGTTCTCAGTTCTGGCCTTAATTAGAGGGCCCTCGGGGAGAGAAAGCACCAAGCCAGCCTTCTGAAGCATTCCCTGGGAGCGTCTGAAAGCAGGTGGCATGTAAAGACCCATGGTCTATGTCGTTGATTTGGTGGGCCTCACCGAGAAATCTGGCTCTGAAGGCATGAGTCCCAGGCTCATTATCTCTATACGAATGACACTGCCTGACACCCAGGAGCAAGTGCTGTCTTAGGAACATCCTCAAAGCAAAGGAAGAGAACACCCTTTCCAGTGGCTGAGGCTTAGCTCAGGGCTCAGAATCTGCCAGGAGCGCCAGACAGGTTTGGTGCATGCGTGGATTGATAACGAACAAATTCCTCCTCCTCTACTTTCTTTTTTGGAGCTTAATTGCTTGTTAAAATCAGGCCTTTGGCCTGGAGCCTGGCTTCCTGTTCTTACAAGTAAGACTTTTGAGGTGTAGACAAGTTTCATTTCTCTAAGACCTGTAATCAGGCTCCTGCCACTTATTTAAACAGTTAGCTTTGGGAATAGCAGTGTACACAGAGTCACTTTTAAACTCATTTCTGTCCCCCTTGTGGCACCTGCCAGGCATAGAGCTAGCTACTGACTTGGAACTTAGTAAACATGTGTGGATTGATTTAGCTAACGACACGGTTCCTTGCTGTGGCAAAGTGACTGTTTTGTTTTTGGTCATGATATGTTTGCCAATTTCTATCAACCATGTCCACTACCTTTTTAAAAAAGACAGATGGTGGCTGGGCACGGTGGCTCATGCCTATAATACGAGCACTTTGGGAGGCTGAGGCAGGTGGATCACCTGAGGTCAGAAGTTGGAGACCAGCCTGGCCAATGTGACGAAACCCCATCTCTACTAAAAATACAAAAATTAGCTGGGCATGGTGGTACATGCCTATAATCCCAGCTACCAGCAGGGGCTGAGGCAGGAAGATGGCTTGAACCTGGGAGGTGGAGGTTGCAGTGAGCTAAGTTAGTGCCACTGCACTCCAACCTGCGTAACAGAGTGAGACTCCGTCTCAAAATATAAAAAAAAATTTTTTTAAATGGATTCTGGTATTTTTTAAGGTGGTACTGCTTATTTGCTGTAAGTATTCTTGATTCTGATAGACATTATCCAAAAACTGCAGGATGACTTTATTTAAAGTAAAAATGGATTTTCCAACAGAGCTCTTGTAAAATAGCGGAACCCAGAGTTCTCAAGTGTAAGCTGCTGGGATCAAATCCAGGCTTTCAGCAGCATCTGTGTGAGTCGGACGGGTTACCAATCTCTCTGGTCATCAGCTTCTCCATCTCTATGCTAATGACAGCGATAATGATAGTATCTACCTCTTAGGGTTATTACAGGGTAAATGAAATGATGTATGCATAGAAGTTAAGCCCAGTGCCTGGAACATAGTAAGAACTTAACAAATGTCATTTATTGCTAGTATTCAACTGTTCAGTACCTCAGTCAAGTAATAGTCCCATAGGACAAAGTTAAGAATAAACCAAAGGAATGAAAACTGTCTATATTTCCTGGCAAAAGGATTCTGAGTAATCATTTCCTGTAATGTTATGATAGTATCTAAGTAACATATTCAGAAGGACTGGTGTATCGGGCACACGGGGATGAAGGTCACCGATTTCGTTGCTTGATGTAATGGTACAGCTAGCACACAGGGCTTGGCACCTAGTAGGCCCTCTATAAATGATCGCTATTAGCTGTAGTTAATTCAGGTTCCTGGCATGCATTTGTAGACTTAGAGAAGGAGCATGTAGGCTGGGTACAGTGATTCATGCCTGTAATCCCAGCCCTTTGGGAGGCCGAGGCAGGCGAATCACGAGGTCAGGAGTTCGAGACTAGCCTGGCCAGTATGGTGAAACCCGTCTCTACTAAAAATACAAAAATTAGCCAGGCAATGGTGGTGGGTGCCTATAATCCCAGCTACTTGTGAGACTGAGGCAGAAAAATCACTTGAACCCAGGAGGCGGAGGTTGCAGTGATCCGAGATTCTGTGGCTGAATTGCAGCCTGGGTGAAAGAGCGAGCATCCATCTCAAAAAAGAAAAAAAAAAAAGAAAAGAGCATGTATTTTTTAGGTTTTGAGTCTGTGAGTGTTTGTGATAACACTTTCTGATCTATCAAGGTCAGTGTTTAGAAAGTATATCAGTTATTGCCACAGTAATGCTGTGTAACAAATGACTTCAAAACTCAATGCTGTGAAACAAGCATACGTTTTCCGTGTGTTGGCAGGGGGTCGGTTGATCTGGGCCGGGCTTGCCTCCAGGCTACAGATTTTGTACAGGTCTGTTCCAGTACCCTGTTGTCCTTGGACCAGCAGGGTACTGGGGACAGGACATGATCTCTTGTGGTAATGGTAAAAACACAATAGGCCACACTTCATCACTGAAGCATATTTCAAGCCCCTGCTTATGCCACAGCTGCCAACCTCCCATTGGGTAAAACAGTCAAATGGGCACAGCCAACCTGAGGGGATGGAGAAGCACACAGCCAAGAACTGCAGTGTCACATGGCCAGAGGGTGTGGCTCTAGGAGCTGTGACGAATGAGGGCCACCAATTCAGTGCACCTAGTCCCCCATTTGACTCCCCCAACTTAGCTATTGCAGTAGATGATATGAAAGGGCTTCCCTCGTTGAAGGCAGTTCCATGGTTACTGGTACCTGCATTAAGATTCTGAAAGCACTCTACTGTAGCATGCACACACGTTGCAAATTCCCCTTTGGTCTCCAGGAGGCTTTCCTCTGATGGACAGGAATTTACTCTACTGTAAACCAAAGAGTCCCAATTTAGACAGATAGGATGGATTAGGCAGACAGCATCATTGACCTGGTTCCACTTCGTTAGCCTTTCCAATTAAGGAGGATGTTGCTGAAAGTGATCACAGATATATAGTCATACTTTGAATCCTCTGGACTGGAAGGCTCTTCAGGGAGAGTCTTCCATTTCCACTGTGCACAGAGGGAGGACAGCAAAAGAATCTTGGCAAGCGAGTCCTAAGTATTGATGATGTGGCCACTTGTGAGGACTTTATCTTCTTCCCGGCTAGTTAATGAAGATGCTAAATAGAATTTGTGCTTTTGCTTTCCAGAATCTTCTTAATCTTGGATCCCTGACCATGCACTGATTAGGTCTCTGATCTTGCAACATCAAAGAGAGAGTTGATGCTTCACTGCATCTAGGGATCAGGCTCTTGATTTTGTCAGCACAGTTAACAGAGATTTCCTGTGACTTCCCAAGGAAAGTCTTGTCCATTGGAGCTGTTTTAGGGGTTCAGGATGGCATTCTCTCCTCTTCGACCTTGTGGAGATTCTAAGCAATGAAGCATAAGTCTCAGACAGTAGCCAAATGGGCTGCGAAGTACAGTTTAATTAATCTGGGCATGCACTCAACACCCCAGTGCGGTGCTTTGCTAGGACTTGGCTTGGAGATTGAGGCTAATTTTGAGGCTGAGATGCAGCTTCTTGTCTTATAATCAGAATCGAGGTGGTAAGATCTGAGTGCACAGTAGACACAGATTACTCTGACCTGAATAGCAGATGTTGCATGTATGCTCTCACCCTCTAAGTAGCATGTACCAAGTCTGACTCACACTGCCACCCACAGACCAGGAGGATGGTCTTGCTTCCCAAAGACAAAAATGGGTCCTGCCCCGTTTGCTTGCTTGACACAGGGAAACAGGAAGTAAAGAGTAGACGCTTTCTGCATGGGCGTGACACAGTAGGGGTTTAGAATGCCTGATCAAAAAAAAAGTTGCTCTATGAGTGTTATGTCTTTACCAGTCCTAGCTGCCACTTCTTTACCCCTGGGAAGGAAACAGTAAGGATTTGAAGAGCCAGGCTTAAAACAGCTTCTTCATGACTTCTCCAGATTCCTTTATAGGTCAAGGCTGCAATGTGGGGGGAGGGGGAGAAGAGGTTCCCCTCAGTGTTTTCTGGAGTGTGAGGAAGACTCAGTGCCTGGGGCAATGTGAGAATTGGAGTGGGATGTTCTCCTGGCAGTTTCCTTTCAGTTACACCGATGGAGAATTGCCGGGAGTTGGAGTGGGGGAATGATGAATTCCTCTTCCTCGAGGACAGAGCTGAGCAGAGCTCACCACGTTTCTCAGATTGTGCCTCTTACGCTCCTCAGAATCGGGCATCGTTATAAAGATATGATGGAACAGTCATCAGGACAGTGAATGGCAGCTCACCTCGAGGAGGGGTTTAGAATGTTCCAGCTTCCCTGCATTGCCTTCTTGTTCACAGTATGGGTCAGTGGGCTGGTGGTAATTTGCATGACTTTCTAAAAGCCTGTGGTGGAAATGGGAAGAGAAAGCAAAGCTTCAAACTGGGTCTGTTCTTCAGGGCCCTAAAATCATGCCCATTTTCCGTAGGAGGCATCTTCAGGTTGTGATTCCCAGAATTATAAATCCAATTAAGTTCAGAGCAGACATACTGTAGACAGAAATAGCCTTCATGGGCTGGGCTTGCTATTTTCTTTGGAAACCACTCACTGGACACTGCCACCTCCTCCCATCAGTCTTTCCCTCCTCCTGTACCCACCCTGTCTCTCCTCCAACCCAGAGTTCATGCTTAATGACCTGAGACAGTACCACCAAGCATTCCCAGTCAATCGGCTTTTTGTAGAGAGTGAATGAATAGGACATTTCTCTGGCCTTCTCTATCCTAAAAACGACCTTCCCCAGCTCACTGGAATATGCTACTCAAACCAGAAAGTAAGCTGTTCCCTCTCATTCCCTCCCTCATCCTTTCCAAGATCAGAAGCAAATAGGTGGCCGTGGCCCTGGCTAGAACTCGGTATTCTTTCAGGTTTGTTCCTACTTCTCTTACAGAGCCAAAGTCTCCTTCCTATAGAGGGTTTGGATGCACTTTGAGATATTTGGCAAGGGTGTGTTGTTTCTTTTTTCTTTACACTTTGTTTTCTGTATGATCTCTACGTGGGTGTTTCCTTCACAGAAAACTTGAGCCTCCTTCATCATTTGGACATGAAGTGTTGGGGCGGGAAGACTGGGCCACGCTGTCCTGATGTCTCTGTAGAATGGAGGAGAGAGAGTTGGGCTGCCCTCCCTGTGGGGTGGCCTGAGCACTGAGGAAACAAAGCTTTGCTTGAAAATGATGCTGGGAGCTTGGCATGGTGGCTCATGCTTATAATCCCAGCACTTTGGGAGGCTGAGGTGGGAGGATCATTGAGGCCAAAGTGTTGGAGAACAGCCTGGGCAACGTAGCGAGACCCCCATCTCTACAAAAGTAATAAAAACTAGACTGGCATGGTAGTGCATTCCTGTTGTCTTAGCTACGTGGGAGGCTGAGGTGGGAGGACCACTTGAGTCCTGGAGGTCAAGTTCGCGGTGAGCTGTGATCACACCACTGCACTCCAGCGTGGGCAACAGAGCAAGACCCTGTCTCTTTAAAAAAAAAAAAAAAAAAAAAAGACAAAGTGACACTGGGGTGGTAAGTAAACTTTTTACCACTCCTCACTTGCATTTTCTCCTTTCGTCCCACAGGATCCACACCCGAGTCCGCTCATCAGCCTGGAGACTCAGGTGAGTACCTTTCTGGTCTTTGCCACTTACCTCAGCGTTGATATTCCAGCTCTCAAGGGGACTTGTCCCCTGGCTTTGAACGGCTGGACAGGCCCGTAGCTGCCCGTTGTCACATTTGGATGTGTGTGTGCCTATACCTGTGTGTCTACACACTGGCAGATTGTGTACACGTGTGTGCAATAGTGTGGGTGTGCACGTGCGCACATATTTGCACCCACGTGTCTGGTGCCCCTCCCTCCCGTGGCAAGAGCCATAATCACTTGTTTTGTTTCTTTTGAGTTTTCCCTGTCCTTTGCTCCTGCCCAACGATCATGAGGAGGTTCATGCAAAGAAGAGAGGAGACAGAGGGGAGCCATGAAGTGGGAAGATGCTATTCTTTTTTTATTTTTGAGACAGAGTTTCACTCTTGTTGCTCAGGCTGGAGCGCAATGGCGTGATCTCAGCTCACCGCAACCTCCACCTCCTGGGTTGAAGCGATCGATTCTCCCGCTTCAGCCTCCCGAGTAGCTGGGATTACAGGCATGGGCCACTATGCTCGCTAATTTTGTATTTTTGGTAGAGACGTGGTTTCTCCATGTTGGTCAGGCTGGTCTCGAATTCCTGACCTCAGGTGATCCGCCCACCTCAGCCTCCCCAAGTGCTGGGATTACAAGCGTGAGCCACCGGGACCTGGCCCAGTGTTGCTCTTTGATGCCTAAATTTGGAGGACTTTTTCTCCTTGGCAGTGAGGACAGCAGATAGAAGGAAGTCACATCCTTTATCTACTTGCATGTTAGGTCATCCTGAGGAATCGTGATTGTGGTGGTGTTTCCATGTGGGGAGGATGACGGTCAGTGGGTCTTATAAGGGACAGCACGGTCCTGACTCTCTGCTTTCTGCCTTCCTGGGAGATAGGACAGTGCAGCAGCTATGAGTATGGGCCTTGGAGTTCAGCAGAGCCAGGTGGAATTCCACTTCTGTTCTTCTAGCCCTGCAACATTTGTGGGGCCACATAATGTCTAAGCCACTGTCCTCCCATCTGAAACGTTACCCCAATGATAGTGTCCACCTTGCAGGGTTGTGGTTGAGAATCACAGGACATGATGTTTATAACGCCTGGGGTACGTGCTAAGTGCTTCTGAGTGGTAGCTTTTTAAACCAGTAGAACTGTGACCTTTCCTGCTGGAAATGGATATTTCTTATCTTTGGATTGATCATTTCTTTAGCTCTTTGGATGTGTCTGACAGTAAAGAGAGAAGACTGGTTGGGCCTCATTCTGAGCCCCGCAGTGAAGAGTTTACAAGTGTCAGATATAGTCAGACTTGTTTGAACCTTTCAAGGCTGAATGATGGATTGTAAGTTTCAAGGGTTTCTGGAGTGCACTGGAAGAGAACACCTGCTCCCCTGTCCTTTGCCCCCGCCGCCTTGGGTCCTTGCCCTCTCCTTGGCATCTCTGCTTGGGTCTCCTAAGAGGAATGAGGAGACCCACCTTGCTTCCTCCTTTCTGGGGAAGGCCAGCGGATCAGAGTTTCCTTTTATTTTTCTGTCCTCTGGGCACACGTGCAGCCAAATGGGCCATAGGGCTGACCAAGCAGCAGGGCTGGCAGGGAAGAATAGAAGGTGCAGCTTTGAGGAGGAAAAGGATTCAGTTTCCTCTGCCTGTTTAGCCGCCCGCTGGTTTGGTTTTGTCTGTACTTACCACCTTGACCATGCTTGCCTTATTTGAATTTCATCTGTCCTATAAAGTCACCTAAAAAATAGGTTTTTCCAGCCCGGTGCTGTGGCTCATGCCTGTAATCCCAGCACTTTGGGAGGCCGAGGCGAGTGGATCACTTGAGTCCAGGAATTCAAGACCAGCCCGGCCAACATGGTAAAACCTTGTCTCTACTAAAAATAAAAACTTAGCTGAGTGTGGTGGCAGGCGCCTGTCATCCCAGCTACTCAGGAGAATCACTTGAACCCAAGAGGCAGAGGTTGCAGTGAGCCGAGATCGTGCTACTGTATTCCAGCCTGGGTGACAGTGATAGTTCGTCTCAAAAAAAATAAATAAGTTTTTTCTTAACCCACTTTGCTTTCAGAAATAGACTTATGTGAATCCAGTGGTTCTCAACCAGAAGGTGGTTTTGATTCCCAGTGGTTATTTGTAAACATTTGAAGACATTTGTTGGTGGTATCATCTGGTTGGGGGTTTCTGACTGGCATCCGGTAGGTAGAGACCTGATTTGCAGTTAAATATACTATAACACAGAGGCCAGCTCCTGGAAAGAATTATCTGGTCCTGGGCCTGGCACGGTGGCTCACGCCTGTAATCCCAGCACTTTGGGAGGCCCAGGTGGGTGGATCACTTGTTGCTAGGAGTTTGAGACCAGCCTAGCCAATATGGTGAAACCCCATCGCTACTAAAAAAAAAAAAAAAAAAAAAAAACACAAACAAACCACCTCCAAAAGTAGATAGGCATGGTGGTGTGTGCCTATTGTCCCAGCTACTTGGGAGGCTGAGGCAGGAGAACTGCTTGAATCCAGGAGGTAGAGGCTGCAGTGAGCCGAGATTGAGCCACTACACTCCAGCCTGGGTGACAGAGTGAGACTTAAAAAAAAAAAAAAATTATCCAGCCTTAAATACGAAAGCTGTTGAGATTGAGAAATGCTGTCTCAAGCAATAATATTGGTGGAATCACAAGTCTGAAGTGCTAGTTAAATTTCTTTTTTTGCCCAATATTAAAATACTAAACTGTGAAAATAATGTTCCTTTAGTCACCCTCTGATGTCACCTAAATACACACTTATCAGAGATGGGTGCTGCCCTTTGGGAAATGTTTCTCTTCCCAGTCTACCCCATGGATTAGGAGAGAAATTCCAGGGTATGATTTTAAAATGATGGTCCTTCTCTTCCTCGTCATCCTTCCCCAAAAGGAAAGCCTATTAGACTTAGGAAAGTCTAATAGGGCAAACATCTGTATCCCGAACTCTGGAAGTCACATGTTATCTCCTGGGAGTGGAACAACTGCATCCCCAGATGGTTCTGTGTTTGACCTTCCTGTACCCTTCACTCTGGACACCACCCCATCAGCCCTTCAAAACCCACATGGGAAAGAGCAGTCAGGGGCCAGTGGCTTTGGGCAGCACCTGAGGTTGCCAGCAGCCCCTTACACAGGGACCATTCTTAAAGTCCTGTCTGTTAGCCCAAAGGACCTGAGCCTCCATCTGCAGCCAGCAGTGGCACGGGGTAGACCCTCAGCCTTTGTGCCATGCCACTGGGAAAAGGCTTCAATTTGTCTGCAGACAGGGCTCCATCGGCCTGATTTGGTTCCCTGTCTTTGGGGAGCCTGGGAATATTGTTGTCTTTCTCTGAGTTCTGATTTCCCATGTTAAAGAAATGTTGGAACCCAACCAAAGTGCAGATTTTTTTTTGTGACTGTTGGCACAAGCCTGTGGCCAGATCTGACTTTGTGCTGGGCCTCAGCCCATTGTGGGGTGAATGATGGGATCCTGTTCAGCTGCCTGCAGGCAGGTCAGACAAGGGGGTCAGGTCCCTTTTTGGCAGGAAGTAGTGCCTCAAATGTTACCCATATGCCATGAGCAAGATGGCAGATGTGGCCGAGCTTGGAAGAATGAACTCTGCAGAGGTTAGGTGACAGATGTGCCCTGAGCCCTGGGTCACTTCCCACTTTCTTCCCCCAGTGCACTTGGCTTAACGATGGTATTGCCTGCTCCATCCTTGAGCCCAGCTGCCACAGGTGAGCCTGTCTGTTAGATTTCACTGAGAGCTGTATCTTGCACAGTGCATCAGCTGCTTTGCCTACCCAAGACCTGGCCTGCATTATTAGAACATGCAGGGGCCCTTTCCTTCACCCATCTCTCTCTCCCATGTATGAATTGCAGTGGTTCTCGGCCATCGCTTGGTTCATCTGTCCCTGTGCAGCTGTTCTGAGTTGGGGGAGATGGATTGATTGGCTGCTGAGGACTCCTCTAATGCCCTTTGCCATTAGCACAGAAGAGCTTTGCATCTGTTGGCATCAGCAGGACTCTCTGCTTAACGGTCAGATTAATAGAATGAGGAAGCCGAGGAAGGTTTAAATCCCTGGTGTCGGCTTCCCCCTCAGCGGGCTGCCCCTGGGGAGGCACCAAGGAAGCCCTGACTTCCAGTGGTGAATGCTTCTCTGGTCCCCACATGGTGATCACCCAGGTGACGTAGAAATAAAAGAAAGAAACCACCATGGCATGTGTGTACCT